GGCCAACATCTATTTTTCATCCCCCTAAATGTTAGGGGTAATTCACCCCTAATTTTTTTTTTTATTTTTTAGACACAATTTTTAGTTTCTATTCTTTTATGATACAACATACAAAAATACATACAATCTTAAATTTTCACTCTTCTATCATCAACCCCTATTTTTTATAGCGTTATTAATTTATATGGCAAAACAAAAAGGCTATTATCAAATTAAAATTAAATTCTTCTATTAAATTACAATTAAAATTAGGGCTTCGTGATAGAAGGGTGAAAATTTTGTTATACGTATTTTCAATAATAAATATATATACAAAATTTTGTTGAAAATATTAAAAAAATATTTTTTGGGTGAGCCTCTCTAAAGACTTAAACTTTTTATAAACCTATTCTCAGACCTACTGAATATATATAAAATTTAATCAAAATTGGTAGAGCCGTTTCGGAGGAGTTTAAACACGAAATCTGTGACTCGAGAACTCTATACTTTATATAGGGTATCATGTGGCTATGCTAATTAACTTGAGCATAAATTAATTACAGTAATTAACGTTGTGAATGAGACGTTTGTATGGGAGGTCGTGGACCGTGTCTATTTTGTACCATTCACTACTATATCCGATAATATTAATCTATACATAAATTAAAAAAAAGTGGAGTGTCTGTTTGTAATATTGAAATAACAGTTTTTTACTACATGCGTATGAATATAAATACGGTACCAAAATAACATTTTTAACCATTTTTGCCTGTCTGACTGTCTATTACGGCTAATCTCTATTCATGGCTTATGACTATTCAAAAGTGCTTGTAATGAGTTTATTTGAATAAAGATTATTTCTATTTCTCTGAAATGGCTGTATCGATTTTGACGGGACTTTTATTGCCAGGTAGCTGATGTAAGCTAAGGAGTAACTTAGGCTACTTTTATATCAGAAAAATAAAGTTAAATTGGAGAACGAAGTCGCGTGAAAATCTAGTAAGGAAATAAGGATTGGTAAGGATTGATTTTAAAGTAAATAGATACAAACAATCATACTCATGACTACAAATGTTTGTACCGTGCGAGGAATCGAACCCGCGACCATCGGACGTAAAGCGGTGTGCTAGACCGCTAGAACACCGAGGTCGTCAAAATATATCTATAAGTTTATGTTGTCCTGGTACTTTAGGTCTCATATATTTTGTGTTATTCCACGCCAACGAAGTTGCTCTAAACTGCTAGTTACGTGATAAATACGAGACGCAAGAAAATCTCATCACCTCAGTGAATACTAAAGGGCACTCTACTAGTCTATGACTCATCGGTCCTTGACCGTGCGTAGGCGCACGAGGTTCGCTCTATCTACACACGCAGACAGAGATAGATAGACGCCAGTTCAACCATAGCAGTCACCTTGTTTGGTATGAATGTGATTTAATTAGAAATCACACTTTTACCAAAGTTACCAAAGACCCAAAAGTCGTCTTATTACATACCTAACTCTAAGCTATTTCAGTCGCCAGGATAAGAAGCCTCTTAGTACTCAGAAATGGTTACGCAATGGTATCACGGGTGTCACGTGACCTTACCACACATAATTACCACTTACCGTCAGGTACGCCGCCAGCTTTTTTTTCTGACTCTAATGCTGTTGGCCGCAGCTGGCCTTTACAGCTTCACCGGAGGATAGGGGGCGAGTGCAGATGGTACTCCAAACCAAAGGAAGGACTTATGGAGCGGCTGAAGACCAACTCCCGCCTGACCTTCGACTTTAGTAAGAGGGCACTACTAGGGGTTCGAACCTCGGCTTACGCTGTCGTAATTTCTATTACCGTTTCAATTAGACGAGGGATCGATCGGAGGGGATGCTGCCAGCTATGTCATTCCAATTATAACAAAAAAAATGCATTCTAATGATTACTGCATACAATACTAGTCGACCAATATAAACCCAATATAAATATGCATCCGTTACATCATAGTTTACGGTTATGACTGACATAATACTGAAGCTATAATAACTCTAAATTGCCACCTAATTAACAAACGCGTCCGCCCACGTCAACGGTCAGATGTGAAATGAACAAAAAGATTCAAATTTCGAACGCCGATTCGAATTTCAAATCGCACCATCTTCCCGCACCGGCGCGCTTCCGCCGCGACCCCAATTGGACGCGTCCTGCGGAACGCCGCTCCCGGAACCTCTCTATGTTTTGTCTTCTTCTAATGCGTGCGATATATTTTTTATTTCATGTTACGTTCATAGTAAGGTGTACCATATGATTGTGAATGGTTATAATTATATATTATACTAGCTATACCCGCGACTTCGTCCGCGTAAAATTTAACAAAAAAGTTAATTAGAGAATTTCTCTAAAATAAAAGTAGCCAAGTTACTCCTTATTACATCAGCTACCTGCCAATAAAAGTCCCGTCAAAATCGGTCCAGCCATTTCAGAGATCAGCCGGAACAAACAGACAGACAAACTGACTGAATTCCTTTTTATCTTACTTTCTTCCACGATATTGTCTAACAGGCGCTATACGTTGCTCAGTGTAATTAAGATATTGTATAATTTAAAAATACTATACATACTCGTGAACGAGTGCTGCTTGTAGGGACTGGTCTGCTCTTATCACTGCGACTGATTTAATCTTATATTTGACCCAAATAAATTAGTTCTGGTTGGTAGTTTGTATTCACACGTTTCGACTTGTAAAATGTGAACTTACAAGGATTGTTTAAAAGAGCAACACACAAGTTTCTTGCTTATTCTTCTTGTGATGAGACAGCTTTCCGAATAAGCGGTAGATTTAAAAAAAAGTTGACTATTCAAAAGTGCTTAAATTAAGTTTATTTGATTGTCTATTCTATATAACTAGTTTGGTCAAGCAAAAGGTGTTTTTATCATCAACAACCTAGTCCACATCAGACTGTACAATTCTCTTCAGTAATAAAAATCAATGCAATTTAAAAAAACCGATAAAATATACAATTACTCAGTCAGCCGCCGCGCCACCCTTACATTTCATTACGGTATGGATATGAATAAATATTTTAATAGGGTTGTTAGCGTATCGTGAACCATGGGGGTGACTAAAGAATATATACCGCAGACGGAATAAAAAAAATTCAGTCTTTTTTATAGATTATTTTAGGTCTTGATGGTCTAGTGGTTTAGTACATCGCTTTACTAGCGACGGTTGCAGGTTGAGTATTTATATATCAGTTATCTAGTACCAATAACACAAGCTCTGCTTAGCTTCGGACTAGATGGCGCTGTGTGAATTGTCCGAACATCTTGTACATTCTCTGCAAAACTAATCTTTACAATTAACTATAATTGAAGTTTGTAAGTGTAATTTGTAAGTTCTAATTAATATCTATTCAGGAAATGCATACGAAAGTAGGGCCATTACATCGAAAAATTTATATTAAAAAATGTTGTCTGTTTGTCTATCGTTCCTGATAATCTCTGAAACGGCTGGACCGATTTTGATGGGACTTTCACTCACTAATAGCTAACGTTATAAGGAGTAACTTACAACTTAGGCAACTTTTATTTTATACATTTTATATAAATAAATAAATAAAAAAAATTACATAGTATAAAACAAAGTCTCCGCCGTTGTCTCTTCGCTTATATCTTTTAAATTACGCAACGGATTTTAATGCAGTTTTCAGCAATAGATAGATTAGTTCAAGATAAACGTTTATATGTATAATACATGCGTGTTGTAGTATAGAACAAGCCGAGATATTCAAAGATAGGAAATGCATCTGTGCGACATCGGGACGGGTCTCTAGTAGGCATTAAATTACTCGTACAAGTGTCACCTCTGCGCTGTCTCTGGTCTACAACAGACGCCGACTAGACGGAATCTATGGCAATTTATAAACGCCTGGTTATTTCTAGCGAAGGCTAGACTACTACATTTTATAATGGCGTCATACCCCCATAAAGCGACTATTTACAAAAGAATAGAATAGTACATATTCAAATTCAAATTCAAAATATCTTTATTCATGTAGGTCTATTACAGACTCTTATGATATGTCAAATCTACCGTCAGTTCGGAAATTCAGAAAATAATTTATTCAAATAAACTTAATTTAACCACTTTTGAATAGTCATGACAATTTTTTGAAATCTACCGCTCATTCGGAAATCTGTCTCATCACAAGAAGAACGAGCAAGAAACTTGTGTGTTGCTCTTTTAAATAATCCTTGTAAGTTCACATTTTACAGTTTGAAACTACCAACCAGCACTAATATATTAGGGTCAAATATAAATACACAATAAGATTAAATCAGTCGTAGTGATAAGACCAGACCAGTCCCTACAAGCAGCACTCGTTCACGAGTATGACGGATGTCAAATTCTAGATACTGTCGGAGCCAGAAGAAAAAAAGTCTAGGTTCAATACAAGAATCTTATTTATATGTGTAGTATGTTTATAATATATATAAATATGTATGTATGTATGCTCATAATTCGTTTGTATGTAGTATATTATCATGTATATGTATGATCTTATATCTATTTAATATAATTACATTTAATTTCTTAAAACTAAACCGCCTTCGAGTATCTCTGCACTCCCTAAGGTTGGCTGGTAGAGAATGCCATTAGCATTAAGCCTGCCTATTGTACGAAATCAAAAGGAGCAGGACATTGTCGATTATATTCGTACCAAGAGTAACCTGACATTGAGGGTGACGCAGCCGAAGTCGAGTCACAACGCGAGTTTCAAAGCGTTTGTGGCCCTGGTCCCTACCGACTTGCTGCCCACCTTCATGAAAGAGGACTACTGGCCGAAAGGTGTGGTGTATCGGCGCTACCGTGGCAGATTGCCGTCTTCAGTGCAGTGATCACACAGACAATATCGTTGTATTGATTTTTAAATATTATATTATATGTATGTTAGTCTATAAGGTATTTATAATATGGGCCTAGTTGCCTGAAATAAATAAATAAAGTTTTAAATAAATAAATAAGAATGTTACACCACTTACTTAATATGTCGTCCTGGTACTTATTAGTGACGTTTTGCTGGAATCATGCACAACTCTGAAACAATAAAAGAAATAACAATAAAATAACGGCCCAAAGCAAAAGTAGGTAATATTTGTTTTTATAGTAATTTAAAGTTTAGATGTTATGTAATTGATTAAGAAGACAGCACGGAGCTAACATGCTCACTATTGTGCTAAGCTCCTAAATAAATAAAGAGAAAAAAAAAACGCCACAAAGCGTAAAAGAACACCAAAAGCTTAGAAAATCAGATAATAGTAATAATAATAATAATCTCAGGACAATTCACACAACGCCATCTAGACCAGGGATGTTAGAAAGCTCCGTAACCGTAACCGAAACTATCGGATATCCGATATAAAAAAATATTCGTAACCGTAACTATCGGATATCCGATATAAAAAAATATCCGTAACCGTAACTATCGGATATCCGATATAAAAAAATATTCGTAACCGTAACTATCGGATATCCGATATAAAAAAATATCCGTAACCGTAACTATCGGATATCCGATATAAAAAAATATTCATAACCGTAACTATCGGATATCCGATATAAAAAAATATTCGTAAACGTAACTATCGGATATCCGATATAAAAAAATATCCGTAACCGTAACTATCGGATATCCGATATAAAAAAATATCCGTAACCGTAACTATCGGATATCCGATATAAAAAATATCCGTAACCGTAACTATCGGATATCCGATATAAAAAAATATTCGTAAACGTAACTATCGGATATCCGATATAAAAAAATATCCGTAACCGTAACTATCAGATATCCGATATAAAAAAATATCCGTAACCGTAACCGTAACTATCGGATATCCGATATAAAAAATATCCGTAACCGTAACTATCGGATATCCGATATAAAAAAATATCCGTAACCGTAACCGAATCCGAAATAAAAGTTTCGGATAATATCGGATAGGGGCGGAGTCTAATAGAATTACGATATGTAACCATTTTATAAGCTATTTGTATTATACTTATGAAATTCCTTAAAAAATTAATATCTGTAACCGAAATTATCCGAAACTAACGGATAATCCGAAATAATTTCATATCCGTATCCGATATAATAATCATTCATATATCCGAAACCTATCCGTATCCGAAATTTCATATCCATAACATCCCAACTTAAGCTAGTTAAAGCTTGTGTTATGAGTACTAAATAACTGATACAAAAACACAGATGTATATATTTTTCGTAAATACATACATATAACATATAGAAAACACCCAGACCGATACAAACAATCATATTCATAAAAACAAATATTTGTGCCGTGCGAGGAATCGAACCCGCGACCATCGGAACTAAGGGGGTGAACCGTTAGCTCAGGGGCTATTGTCGTCCAATAAAAACTATCAGGTATGAAAAAATTTTTTGTTGGATTTTTTGTTTACATTTTTATTTGGTCAAGGTTACTATTCCACGCGGACGAAGTCGCAGGCACAACTAATGTACTATAAAAAAACCGTATTAATTTCTCGTACTGTTGGCATCCCTGTTCACATGTGACAAAAGACCATCTAGTTCCAAACTGAACTAATATTTATTATAATATATAAAAAAATGACGTTTTCATACATCAAAACATCAAACTGACTTAAGGGTGAAGATATTCTCAAACAATACAAAAGCTAAAAATTCCTTATTTGTCGTACAAATGTCGGTTTTTGTACTGTTGATATCCCTGTTCACATGTGACAAAAGGTCGGTACCAATTGTACGAATTGCTGCCACGCTCTGATACTCTGGTCATCTGGTGCGGGCAGTGAAGCGCGACGGGTGTCACCATTAGTGTCCTCTACACAATTGGCGTGCAATTTGCAATAAACGAGTAACCCTGACATATATACATATGATGGCCGTTGCGCAATAAGGTCCTCGAGTGGCGACCGCGGACCGGAAGACGCAGCGTGGGAAGGACCGACGATCTGGTCAAATCGCAGAAAGGCGATGGATGGGAGCAGCGCAGGACCGATCGTTGTGGAGATCTTTGGGAGAGGCCTTTGTTCAGCAGTGGACGTCTTCCGTGCTGAGATGATATACATGAGAATGTGGTGAGTTAGGCCGAAAAAGAGATAGATGGCCTGTGTGAAAGATGATATGGTATTTTTTTTTTGTGGATGATAATAGAATGGTGTACTCGCCTGCGCTAATGGTTTACGCTGTCGGGGCACCAGTGGAGGATAAGATGAGCATGAGGTCAGGTCTGTTAGCCCATCGTGACAAATTCACTAAGAATTTATCACGATGGTTTCCAGGGGGAACCGCGTGGAGGTCAACCTGACATGGTACATTGCTAGCAATGGGACATCAGTCCACATTTCTAACAATCCCCTTCCCCCGGGGCACTAATTGCGGTTTTTTTTAAATAGAGTGATTGAAGAGAAAGTTTTATATATATAATACATATACACTAGTTATTAATACGTAGTAGCTAGTTATTTAATATTATGATCCACTACTTTAATATAAATACATTACGTAATTCCTTCTATTTTAGTCCAGGGACACTAATTGCGGTTCAGTTCCGTATCGGTATGTTTTATCTTAACCTAAATATTATATTTAGGCCTACTAATTTAGTTCCATAGTTCCCGCGTGTGTGAATTGTCATGAGATTATTATTATTATATTTCAGAACACACATGGAAAACACCTTGAACAAACAATCATACTTATGAATACAAATATTTGTATCTAGCAAGGAATCGAACCTGCGGCTATAGATTAGCAAGAACAAACAGGCCGATAGAAACTTTCATATGCATTTAGTTAATTTAAAATTACAAACAGACGTTTTGAAATTACAGACTGCGTAGAATTTTACTTTATTTTTCTAAAAAATAAAGAATATCTCTAAACTAAAAGTAGCCTAAGTTCCTCCTTATAACATCAGCTACCTGCCAAAAAAAGACCCGTCAAAATCAGTCCAGCCAAATCAGAGATTAGCCGGAACAAACAGACAAACAGACAGACAGACAAAAATTGTAAAATATGTTTATATTCATATGCATGTAGTAAAAAAACAGTTATTTCAATATTACAAACAGACACTCCAATTTTATATATATGTACAGATGAATATATTATCCTTAAATCCAATTATAGACCTACTAACTTCTGCACACCACTACTTCCGCATGGCCTTCACTGACCGCGATAAAATATTGTTTCATAGCATAGGGGACAAATTTAATTTGGGTAATGAACACAATATTGGGAAGTTATGCGAGGATCATGTCTTATGGAAAGTGTATAATATGAACGTGGATGGATGGAAAGGGAGAGGACGCACTAAAAAGATGTATGGATTGTATGAAAGATGAATAGAATAGAATAGAAAATCATTTATTCAAATAAACTTACATTGAAGCACTTTTGAATAGTTATTACATTTTTTTAATCTACCGCTCGTTCGGAAAGCTGTCTCATCACAAGAAGAACGAGCAAGAAACTTGCGTGTTGCTCTTTTAAATAATTTTATTATTACTTTACATTTTTAAGTTTAAGTGTGTGAATACAAACCACCAATTAGCACTAATTCAATTAAATACTCAAATAGAAAAAATATTGAATATATAACCAACTGGTTAAACAATTTATAAGAGGAAATCAGTCGTAGTGATTAGAGCAGACCAGTCCCTACAAGCAGCACCCGTTCACGAGTATGCCGGATGAGCCAGCCATCGCTGCTCATCATGACATCATGATATGAATAAAAGGAGAGTATGCTCAGATATGACTGATAGAGAGCAGTGTAAGAGAATGACATACTGCGACCACAAATAATAGGATAAAGGCAAGGCAATGATGCTGATCAATAAACGCAATTTTGACTGTCAGAGCAGTTTCAGAGGAGCTTCCTCCCGCGTACACTTACATTATGGAATTCATTACCTGTCGAGATTTTCATCAAAATCCGATCAGTAGTTTTAGCGTTTTTTTTCGGACCGCTCAAATGCTTTTGGGATTAGCTGTGAATCACACTAACCCCATCAAGAAACAAGCGGAATCTACGATGTAAGTATTAGAAAAAACATTAATATATCATTAAAATAGAAAAGATGACGGATAGACATAACAATCGCGTATAAACATGAATAATAATGCCTCTGATTACACCGTCTAGAATGGAATGGAATAGAATAGAAAATCCTTTATGCAAATAAACTTAACTTATGTTTTTGCCACAGCTTCACCGGACGATAGATGGCGAGTGTAGATGGCACTCCAAACCAAAGGATGGACTTATGCAGCGGCTGAAGGCCAACTCCCGCCTGACAGATACGACTTTAGTCTGAGGGCACCGCTAGAGGTTCGAAACTCGGCTCGGCTCAGGCAATTTTTGTTTATCTATTTGTTCCGGCTAATCTCTGAAATGGATGAACCGATTTTGACGTAACTTTTATTGGCAGGTAGCTGATGTAATAAGGAGTAACTTAGGCTATTTTTGTTTTAGAAAAATTCTCTAATTAACTTAAATTGAGATGCTGTGAAGTATTGTTCTGTAAGTATGGATGTAAAGGGAGGGGACGCCCTAAGAAAAGATGGATGGATTGTGTGAAAGATGATATGAATAAAAGAAGAGTATGTTTAGATATGACGACTGATAGAGAGCAGTGGAAGAGAATGACATACTGCGCCGAACCCAAATAATGGGATAAAGGCAAGGCAATGATGATGATGTGAAGTATTGTTCCGTTACTAGTAAAATTTGCATAAATTAGATGGTATAAGCTTTATCCTTACTAATCCTTACTTAATATTATAAAGGCGAAAGTAACTCTGTCTGTCTGTCTCGCTTTTACGACAAAACTACTGAACCGAATTAAATTAAATTTGGTACACATATAGTCTAGAACCTGAGAAAGGACATAGGCTACTTTTTAATCCGAAAAAGGGTTGAAAGGGGCAGATGAAAGCTTATATGGAAGTATCGACAATTTACGCGGACGAAGTCGCGGGCACATCTAGTATTGTATAAATTAGACTTGTGGATAAACAG